GCACCTGCAGCAGCAACTGCAGCAGTTGGATTCGGAGCCGTTTGCTTCTCTGTCTAGTTTCGGCGACTCGCAGGGACCCATAGGATATTCAGGCCAGCAGCAACAGCAGCAGCAACAGCAGCAGCAACAGCAGCAGCAGCAGCAGCAGCAACAGCAGCACACTAAAGATGAAGCTGCTGTTGCTGCTACCTATATTGCCGGTGCTGCGCAGCAGCAGTTTCCGGGCTGCTTGGAGCCGCAGGCTGCAGCTAGCGCTAGCCAGCTAGCTGAGGCTTCTCTATCAGCAGGGGGCCCCCACCTGGGTGAGGGCACAGCTCTGCAGGATATCTCTGCGGGTGCTGCAGCAGGGTCAGGGGACTGGGGGGCCCCCCAGCGTACGGGGGGCCCCCCGCAGCTGCAGCTGTACCCTTCTTCTCTTACTGGCCTGCAGCAAGGCCCAGCAGCAAACTTCTGGGGTTCTGCTGCTGAGCCTGCAGCAGCATCGGAGACAGGAGACAGCTGCGCGGGGACTGTGAAGGGGGGAGCAGCAGAGCTGCTGGTCAAAAGAGACAACACCAGCAGCAGCAGCAGCAGCAACAGCAGCAGCAGCAACAGCAGCAGCATATCCTCTCTGGGCCCTGTTGAACCCCCAGCCAAGCGGTACCGCTCTGACAGCCGCGATGCTGCGCTGCAGGGCGAGGGGCCCCCCTGGGGGGGCCCCCCAAACACTCGTTCTATGGCGGCGTACCCTAGCAGCAACAGGGGCCTCATCAACAACTCCCTCAGTACCTCTTCTGTTGTCTCTATGGGCCCCTGCAGCACGCTGGGGTTTGGGGGCCCCGGGGCCCCCGGGGCCCCCATGGGGGCCCTGGGGCCCCTGGATTTTGGGGGCGGACCTGCTGCAGCAGCAGGGGGTGAGTTTGGTGCTGGTGCTGCTGCTGCTGCTGCTGCAGGGTCTTCGCTTGCTGCTGCTGGGGGGGCCCCTCAGGTGGTCGCTGCTGATGCGAGCAACAGGACGCGGTGGCTGGGCTGCGGAGGAGACAGTGCTGCTGCTGCTGCTGCTGCTGCTGCTGCTGCAGCTGCTGGTCTTCAGGGGTCACTAACCCCTCAAGAGCTGCAGGGGGCAGCAGGAGGTGTGGGGGCCCCCAACCTGGGGGCCCCCTTCGTCAGCAGCAGCAGTGTAGGGCCTGGGGGGCTGTTATACTCCGCCGCGTCTGCGTTCCCCCCCTGTGAGTCTCAGGTGTCTCTCCAGCAGCAGCAGCAGCACCAGCAGCAGCACCAGCAGCAGCAGCAGCAGCAGGGCTTGGCTCGTGATGGGGTTGGTTCTATGGATGGTTTTTCTGTGGGGTGTCCTTCAGATGGGGTGTATGGTGGCGGCTCAGGTGTACAGACAGCTGGAGGGCGTGCAGGACCAGCAGCAGCAGCAGCAGCAGCAGCAGGAGCAGCAGCAGCAGCAGCAGCAGCAGCAGGAACAGGAGGAGGCAGCTCTTCTGTCTCCTCTTCTTCTGGGCGTCGCTCGCGCTGCGGTGGTTCTTCATCTGGTTCTGGTGCTGCTAGAAAGGGCCCATCAGGTGGTGTATCTGGCCGCAGCAGCAGCAGCAGCAGCAGCAGCCAGCGGACCATTGGTCGCATATATTCCTTACTGGTCCGTGGCGTTCGGTGCTGGCGAGCGGAGTGGCATGACCGGACCAGTGGTCACCGCAAGACCAGACAGTATGCAGCACCCAAACACGGAGAACAGCAAGCCAGGGCCCTCTGTCTCCAGGCCCTCTGCCAGGCCCGCAGCGTCCCCGCGCAGCTGCTGCAGGAGGCGCAGCAGACCTTTGCCTATCAACCAACACTGTCTCCTGAGAACAACCCAGAGCCAGACGATGCTGCAGCACAAGACCCAGCAGCAGCAGCAGCAGCAGCAGCAGCAGCGGCGGCGGCGGCGGCGGCAGCAGTAACGAATAACTATCACCAGCAGCACCAGCAGCAACAGCAGCAGCAGCAGCAGCAACAGCAGCAACTGCAGCGCAGCCAAATCATCACACAAAATACACATATAGAAGACACAGGCAGACAGCTGCTGCAGCAGCAAATGCAGAGAGGAGACACAAACCACAACGGGGGGTTTAACCAACCCCACCAGGGATATTTGTGGGGTTTGTCTCCTGTTGTAGATGTCTCCGAACAGCAGCAACAGCAGCAGCAGCAGCAGCAGCAGCAGCAGACATTTGCTGCTGCTGCAGGCAGAGACCCTATCCGACATAACCCGCAGCCTCCTGCTGTCTTCCTGGGGGGCATGGGCATGCCACTGGAGACAGCAGCAGCAGCAGCAGCAGCAGCAGCAGCAGCAGCACCTGTCTCCCTTGAGGATACACCCAACGGGGGCCCCGGGGGGCCCCCAGCAGCTGCTGGGGGGCCCCTCCCCACCGGCTTCCCTACTGATAACAACAACCCCACCACTTCTGCTGCTGCTCCGTTTGCAGGCACCGCGTTCTCTAGGAGCAGTCCGGCAGAAGCTTCAGCTGCATGCAGCAGCAGCAGCAGCAGCAGCAACAGCAGCAGCAGCAACTGCTGCAGCACCTCCGCCATTGAAGGGCCAGCCCCAGCCCCCCACCAGGGAGACGGGGGCCTCCCCACTAAACACGAAGGAGACAGCGACGCGGGGCTGAGTAGTAACCTGTCTCTGATGTGCAGCAGCAGCACAGCAGCAGCAGCAGCAGTAGCAGCAGCAGCAGCAGCAGCAGCAGCAGCAGACCCCACACAGCCCTGCAGCTTCAGCTCCGCCCCTGCTGCTGCCTGTCTCCTCCCCAAGATAGAGTCCCCAGAAGGAGGAGACAGCGCCTCAGCAATAGCAACAGCAGCAACAGAAGGAGACACCCCGTTTGCATGGAGCCCTTCTTTTTTAACCGTCTAACAGCAGCAGCAGCAGCAGCAGCAGCAGCAGCAGCAGCAGCAGCAGCAGCAGTGGTAGTGGTAGTGGTAATAGCGGCAGCAGCAGCAGCAGCAGCAGTAACTCGCGCTGCTGCTGCAGCGCCAACTCTTTGCTTGAAGGCAGCAGGTGGAGACGCCAAAAGCCCCGCCGTGTTCATTGCATCTGTTTCGTAGACTACAGCGCATGCGCAGCAGCAGCAGCAGCAGCAGCAGCAGCAGCAGCAGCAGCAGCAGCAACAGCAGCAGCAGCAGCAGCA